TCGCCCCTGGCACGCGTGGCGCACCTCGCCCCAGCGTCGCGCACATGGGCTCGGTTTTGGTTCCCAGTAGTTCTTCATCCAAAGACGACCGCTGAACATGCTGAGGCTCGGGTGCTACTTATGTGTTGGGAGGGCGGGTGGGAGTGAGCTAGACGGCTTCCTATCTATGAGGGTGTCTTCACTATTGGTCCTTATTAGTATACACCCCCTCCCCCAGGCGCCCTCCCCATCCCTGTCAAAAAGCAATGCGAAATACACTTTGGGGCAACGTCTTGAGTCATGTTCGTGAGGCCCGCGAGCGCATTGTGATGTTTTTGACAGGGACGGTAAGGGTGTCCGCATACTGCATGCTGTGCGCAGGGCTACCATCCCTGACAAAAAATGCACAATGCAGCTCACGGCTCAATCTGGATCATGCGCGGCCAACCCGCGATCACTGTCAAGTGGTTTTTGACAGGGACGGCGGGGTTGGTGGCGCGTGGCCTGCTGTGCGCAGGCCCACCAGACACAATGATGGGCATTGGTTTTCGACAAGGATGGTGGGGGCCGACATGTTTCCCGATGTGTGCTGTCACGTGCGCAGGCGCACCTGACACACTTTGCACGTGCCCCGAACGTGGGGCACCTGGCGCGGCTGGAATATGCGGCACACCAGGCGCACTCGGAGCACGTGGCGCATCTGGCGCATCGGGCGTGCCTGGCACGCTCGGGCCCCAGGGGTGCCTGGTGCGCGTGGCGCGCCTGGCACGCGTGGCGCACCTCGCCCCAGCGTCGCGCACATGGGCTCGGTTTTGGTTCCCAGTAGTTCATCATCCGAAGACGACCGCTGAACATGCTGAGGCTGGGGTGTTACTTATGTGTTGGAAGGGCGGGTGGGAGTGTGCTAGACGACTTGCTATCTAGGAGGGTGTCTTGATCACTGTTCCCTATTAGTATACACCCCTCCCCCACCTGGCCGGCGGCCAACCTGGAACCATGCCAACCCCTTGAGGGCGCCCCCACCATCCCTGTCAAAACCAATACAAAACGAACTCTGCCTCCACATTTGGAGCATGTGCGGCCAACCCGATGCGCCCCCCCCCCCCTGCCATCCCTGTCAACAAAGCAATGCAAAGTACACTTTGGGGCAAGGTCTGGAGTCATGTTCGTGCGGCCCGCGCACATTTTTCATTGTGTTTGGCAGGAGCGGCGGGGGTGTCAGCATATCCCTAACTGAACGCAATGAACCTCGCGGCTAAATCTGGATCATGCGCGGCCACCCCGCGATCACTGTCAGGTGGTTTTTGACAGGGGCGACGGGGGTGGTGGCGCGTGGCCTGCTGCGCGCAGGCCCACCAGACACAATGATGGGCATTGCTTTTCGACAAGGATGTTGGGGGCCGACATGTTTCCCGATGTGTGCTGTTACGTGCGCAGGCGCACCTGACGCATGCTGCACGTGCCCCGAACGTGGCACACATGGTGCGGTCAGAGTGTGCGACACACCTGGCGCACTCGGAGCACGTAGTGCGTCTGGCGCACCAGGCGTGCCTGGCACGCTCTGGGCCCAGGGGTGCCTGGCGCGCGTGACGCGCGTCGCCCAAGCGTTGCGCACCTGGGGTCGGCTTTGGTTCCCAGTAGCTGTCCATCCAAAGACGACCGTTGAACATGCTGAGGCTGGGGTGTTGCTTATTTGTTGGGAGGGCGGGTGGGGGGTGAGCTAGACGGCTTGCGGGCGGGTGGGTCGCTCGATCCCTCCCCCTACCCCCTCCCCTGGACCTGGAAGGGGGGGGGGGCGGCGGGTAGTTGGAGCGTCCAGGATGGCCCAACACGGCTCCAAGAGGGCCCCTGGGAGTTCCAGATGAGCTCCAATATAGCTCAAAATGGCGTACGGTGCCTCAAGCTGGCTCCCAAGATGCTCCACGAGGCCCCAATAACTTTCCAAGACGGCTCCAAGAGGCCTCCGAGACCTCCAAGGAGGCCCCCAATAAGCCCAAATCTTTCAAACACCTAAAGACAAATCTGATGTTTGGTTTCTCGTCTTTTCGCTCCCGATGGCCTCAAGATGGCTCCGATATGGCGCAGAATAATCCCAGGAGAGGCCCAAGAGAGCCCCAAGACGGCCCCAAGAGCGCTCCAAGATGGGTCCAGGAGGTGAGTTTCTGTGCTCCCCAGGGGGGGGGGAGCTAATTTAAACTCCCCTGTTTGTTGATCCATGTCCTCCCAGATGGCCCCAAGAGCGCCCTGACGCTTCCAAGAGCGCTCCAAGAGGCCCCCAAGAGGCGCCCAGACGGCCCCAAGAGGCCTCCAACAGGCTCCCAATAGACCCCATACGATGCTTCAAGAGGATCCCCGAGGTACCCATCTCTCCCTCCTTCTCCTCCTTCTCCTCCTTTTCGTCCTCCTCGTCCTCGCCCTACTCCACCGCCTCCTCCTCTTCCTCCTACTCCTTCTCCTTCCGACGACGATTCCTCCTCCATCCTCACCCTCTTGGGATGTATGGCGGCTTCCCCAACTCTTTGTTCTTCTGCATGCTCCCCCTCACTTCACTGATCACCTCAACTCCCCTGGGCATCGTTTCTGGATGGGCTGGTGGGGATACTTTTTGATCGCGACCGCGGCGAAAGAGGTCGGGCGGCGTCCAGGAGCGAAGCACACGAGGAAGCCCCGAGATGCTCCCAAGAGGCTCCGAAGAGGCCTCTAAGAGGCCTCCAAGATGCTCCCAAAACTGCCCCCGAGAGCCAGAGGCCTCCGTGAGCGCGCCGAAGAGACCCAAAACAGAATCCCTCAGGACTCTGACCCACGTCGTCGTCATCGTCGTCATCGTCGTCGTCGTCGTCGTTGTCGTCGTCGTCCCCCTTCAGGGTCGGCGGCACAGGCCGTCATGCCTTCGCAATGCATGATTCTGTGCTGTGCCCCGCGCTCGTGTACGCCACGCGAGGCTGCGGAACCCCGACGACGTAGGCGAGCGGCCTCGTAGTAACCATCGTGCGCACGAATCTTGGACGCGCAAGAACATACTACTGGTAGTATGGGTCATCCTTGGATGCGTGCGTCCGACCCAGACATCGAGCACAACCATCCTGTAACGTATCGTTTCCTGAGGGGTACGGCCAGAAAGCACCCGCCACGGAGCAAGTACTATAAGATTCCTTAGCGCGCGCGCGTCGCCCCTGTGGGGGCGACGAAGACACACCATTCGTATGTTTGGGTGGCGCAGATGAATCGCATCTCGTAGCCCCTGGAGCTCTGATGTTCTGGGACCCTCTGTCCGTTCCGGTCACCGCCGCCTGTTCCCGGTGGGGCTGGCATCACAGAAGACATGCCGTGCTCGCGCAAAAAGGGCACGGTTCCTCGAAGGAGGTGCCATGTATTCCTTGGTAGCCCGTCGTATGTACAGGGCAAGGTTTAATACATGGGATTTTAAAAGTATAGGATTTTAATACATGGTTAATTTATGAATTTATGCATGAACTCATCGTTGTTTTAGTACTAAATCCCTGCATTTTTAATAAATGATCCGCACGCGGAGCATGTATAAAAAACGGCACTGTAAGGTCTGATTGTGTCGACAGCGCTGATGCGCAGAGTGTGCAGTCGTCTCGCCCTCTCGCCGAGGAGCGACGCGCGGGGCCTCGTGCTTCCCGCCGCGTGGCCCGTTCCGTTGAGAGGCTCTCTCGCCCCCCCTGCTTCAAACCATGGCCCCGCCCGTTCAGGCAGCCCTCGATGGTCGGAATTGGGCTGCAAACCCAAACTGCCCATCCGACTGACAAAGTCCAATACCGTACGCGTGTAACGCGTATGCACAGCAGCACGGCTCCAGCAGGGCACCGTCCTTTCCGCTCCATCATGGACGCTCTTTTGGCCAACGTCGTCATGCTTGTGAAGCAGCGAAGCAATGACGTGATCGATCCTCCACTTCACGAAATCCTTAACGTCTGTTTCATCCCGTCTGGTTTGGAATAATGACCGTTCGCGGAACCAGCTGCAACGGGTGGTGTTGTCATTCGACAAGGCAGGTGTCACCGTCGGCGGTAAGACATCACAATCCGAGTTCATACAACATCATGCCAATGACTCCACAACACACCCAACACGCCTTTTGTTGTATAATGTGAAGATAAATCCAATGTGCGGTCTGTCCTCTACCGTCCCCAACGAGCCCATCCCCCGCGCCCCGTAGGGCACGCCACTCGAGAGTCCGCTGCACAACATGGGCTATGGCACTCTCCACGGAACCATTACAATATGTATCGCGCTTCAGGGGCCCGACCACAAGAAACCCTCCGCAGGAAAGCCAACCCCGAGACCCCAGGACGTCCATCGATTTTTGGTGAGGGAGCGTCACGCTTTCCGTCGCCAAACCATCGACGCCCAAGAACCCCAGGGCACCCTGGAGGCGAGCAGGGTATTTCTTGGTATGGGCCTCCACTGCAAATGAATTCTATGGTGGATCTCCTGCTCGAGCGATGGCACGCCATCCCCGCCGATGGCCCCGAGCCGAGGAGGACGAGGAGGAGGACGAGGAGGAGGAGGCGGCGGAAAGGGGGATGGGGAGGAGGAGGAGGCGGAGGAGGAGCCTTCCGCAGGGTGTCTCTTGGAGGCGAAGCAGGGTAGGGGGAGCCCTCCGCGCGAGCATGGCATGCATGCCCTGCGCGGCACCAGGAGCGACAGGGCGCTGCGCCCCCCGCTGGCGGATGCGTGCCTCCCTGGGCGGAGAAGTGGGCTCTCAGGATTCTGTCGGCGATGGATTGCGATTTCTGGTGGATTGGTGATTTCTGGGCGATTTCTGGTGGATTTCTGTCGGCGATGGGTTGGTCGATTTCTGGCGGCCCTCTGGCGGCCGTGCGGGGGCGACCTGGGCACCCCTGGGAACGCCCTCGGCGTGGCGCGCAGCTGCCGGAGAGCATCCCGAGGCTGACGGACCGACGAGGTCCGACGAACAGCGCCCGAGAGCCCTCTGACCTCGTCCCTGATCCACCCCCTGCCGTTGCCGCTGACGCTCCCAGCCGTAGCAGGGCCTCGTCCTCCACCGCTGCGAGGCTGCGCCGCGCCGCCGCGAGCGCCAGCTGAGCGTCGCCAGCAGCAGCCTGAGCGGCACCCAGGGCCTGATCGAGTGGGGGGAGATGGCAACCCAGACCTCCAAAGTGGTGTTTTTTTGGTTCCCCCCTCCATTTTCCTGAGCCAAACCGATTCAACACCGAAGCTGCTTCAAAACCTCCACCATGCACGACGTTTTCGGCCTCTGGATGCCCTCGCCAGGCCCCGGAACAATAAACGAAACAACTCTGGATGAAGACTCTGGTGCGACGTAAGGCCATGGAAAATAATAGCTTTCCGTAAGACTGGTCAGTCTTTGAGTTGCGGAGGTCGTCTCGGTTGGCCTCAAGAGGCTCTCGAATAGTCCAGGACGGTCTCGACACCCCGGCGCCGCCTCCGATGGCGCGCCTGAAGCGCTCCGCGTACTGGGGTTGGGGTGTTGAGACTACCCCAGGCTACTTGGGGGATTTGTTGTTGAGGCCAGCCAAGACTACTACCAAGGGTGCGCAACCAGAAGCCTTACCACGCAGGACGTTGTTCCGTTGGGTTCCTGCCGGACTCAAGAATTTGCGATACCTCTGCGTTTGGCAACGCCCCCCCCTGGAGGCGAATCCAACTCTGGATGTGGCGCCAAGGGGGTCAGACGAAGACACGGACCTGAGCATGTCGCAGTTCTGCTAACACCCTATGGGGCGAAAGAAAGTGCGGGCAGTTGGACGCTGGGCAACACCCAGGGGGATCAAATGATGATTGGCTCCGCGTGTGCCACCACCCTGCCAGGCCTCCAGGATAGCAAGAAGCGTCGCCGGCGCGCCAACGCCGCACGAACCAACCCGCAAGACGTTGTCCGAAAACACGGTCCAGGATCGGAACTGCGGTGAGCCCGGTCGGTGATGCAGGTTCCGCGCTCTGCTGGCTGCACTGCGGCGTGGAGGGCGGCGGGTAGGGGTAGCGTTAGGTCGGGCATGTCCTCCGACAGGCGGCTCTCGGAAGCGAAACAGAGCACAGACCCAAAATGTGCAGAGATAGTCGAAAGTAGTAGAACCCGTGCCGTTCCTCGTTCTGTGCCTATCTTTCGACTAGTTCTGAGTATTCCTCCCGTCGAGGGGCATCCCCGACGTGAGACTGCCGCACAAGGAGCGCCGAGCGGGGAGCGCAGCCCGTTCTCGGCCCCGGTAGCGCCTGGGTGCACGAGGGGCGCCAGAGGAGCAGCCGTGGAGAGGGGCCCAAGGAACAGCGAGCTCCTCCCTCCTCCCTCCTCCTTCCTCCTCCTCCTCCCTCCTCCCTCCTCCCTCCTCCGCTTCCTCCTCCTCCTCCTCCTCCTCCTCCTCCCTCCTCCGCTTCTTCCTCCTCCTCTCTCTCTTCCGCTTCCTCCTCCTCCTCCTCCTTCGCCTCCTCCTCCTCCTCCGCTTCCCTCCTCCTCCGCTTCCTCCTCCTTCCTCCTCCTTCCTCCGCTTCCTCCGCTTCCTCCTCCTCCTCCTCCTCCTCCTCCTCCTCCTCCTCCCCGCCTCCCCTTCCTCCTCCTCCTCCTCCTCCTCCTCCTCCTACTCCCTCCTCCCTCCTCCGCTTCCTCCTTCTCCTCCTCCTCCCGCCTCTCCCTCCTCCTCCGCTTCCTCCTTCCTCCTCCGCTTCCTCCTGCTCCTCCTCCTCTTCCTCCTCCTCCGCTGCTCCTTCCTCCTCCGCTTCCTCCTCCTCCTCCTCCTCCTCCTCCTTCTCCGCTTCCTCCTCCTCCTCCTCCTCCTCCTTCTCCTCCTACTCTCTCCTCCCTTCTCCGCTTCCTCCTCCTCCTCCTCCTCTTCCTCCTCCCTCCTCCCTCCTCCCTCCTCCCTCCTCCCTCCTCCCTCCTCTCTCCTCCCGCCTCGTGCCCAATGAACAGCGAGCCCCTGCCGCGCCCGAACCGTTCCTGCTCTCAGCGTCCTGACTGTAGCGTTCGGTCGGGCATGCCCTCCTGCAGGCGGACTTTGGGGGAAACGTCGAATCTACGCAAACCAAACTCAAAAGTAGGCAAAAATAGTCGAAGAATCGTCCCATGACTATTCTTGGACTATTTTTGAACATTCCTCCTGTCGAGGGACATGCCCGACTTGACTGTAGCGGTTCGGCACCGCCCGACGCCAAGAAAGAGTGGGGACGTGAGAGGCTGCTGGGCGGTCTGAACTGGATGAGGTTCCAGAACAGGTAGGTCGGGTCGTGTCGCGTCGACGCGGAGGCGACCCTGGCGCGGGCGTTCAAGGTTGAGCGCCGCGAGTGGCTAAGAATCGGCCCAGGCAGAGCGATCTGGCGATCGAGACGCCGCCGATCGCTCAAGGCTGAACGGTCCACGCTTGGAGGAGGCTGGGGGGTCTGAATTGGATGGGCCTCGAGAAAGTCGGTCAAGAAACGGGGGCGAGGGCAAAGCCGTTCAAAATCGGTTCCAAGACCCCTACTGGGGCCCATATGGTGCAGATTTTGACTGGGGCCCGAAATCGCCCAGAGGCCGAAAAAGGGCAACAAAAAGACCCAAACCCAAAACATCGAACCTGCCCGCCCTTCCTGCTGGCCGGAACCCCGGTGCTGGGCCACCTCAGATCCCCAGACAGCTCCAGCGGGGACGGTGCCCAGCAGCGCATGCTGCCCCGAACAGGCAGCGGCCGCTGTTGGGCAGGCGACCCTCGCCCTGGATGGACAGCGTCCACGGCGACATCGACCGCGAGTCGGGCTCAAAATGGACGACGATCCCTTGCGTGCCTGCTCGCCTGCTCAAAAATGGTGCACACATCACGAACACCTTTTAACCACGGCCCTTTGCATGCCCCAAAACATGGAAAGCGCGCCAATTGATGGCCTGAATACACACAAGCGGGGGTGTGCTCGCAGGATCCCCCCCCCCGCCCCCTCTTCAAAAGGGCAAAGGGGGGGTGAGATTTCCCCCCCCCCCCCTCCCCCCCCCTTTTCCCCCCCCCTTCCCCCCCCCCTCCCCCCTTGGCGCTGGAGAAGGGCGGGGGGGGGGGGTTCGACCCCCCCCCCCTCCCTCCTTTGCGCCGAACAGAAGGCGCTGGAGGGGGCCTCTCGGGTAGTGAGTAGAGAGTAAAGTGTTTCGAATAGCGAATGGTGAGTAGTGAGTATTTGTTAGTGAGTAGTGCGCAGTGAGTCGTGAGTAGTGAGTAGTGAGTAGTGGGCAGTGAGTAGTGTTTAGTGAGTAGTGAGTAGTGAGTATTGACTACTGGGTAGTGAGTGGTGAGTAGCGAGTTGGGAGTAGTGCGTAGGGAGTAGGAAGTGGTGAGTAGGAAATAGTGGGAGCGTAGTGAGTAGTGAGTAATGGGTAGTGAATAGTGCGCATTGGGTAGCAAGTAGGGCGGAAGTAGCGAGTAGTGAGTAGTGAGTAGTGAATGCTGTGTAGGGAGTAGGGAGTAGGGAGTAGCGAGGTATTGCATAGTGAGTAGTGAGTTGTGGGCAGTGGGTAGTGAAGTGTGAATAGTGAGTAGTGGATAGTGGTTAGTGGGTAGTGAGTCGTGATTTGTGAGTAGTGGGTGGTGAGTTGCTTTTATTGAGTAGCGAATATTGAGTAGTGGGTAGTGAGTAGTGAACAGCTCGTAGTGGGTAGTGAGTAGTGAGTAGGGAGTAGTGAGTGGTGGGTAGTGGGTAGTGAGTCGTGGGTAGTGAGTCGTGAGTAGTGAGTAATGAAAAGTGAATAGTGAATAGCGAGTCGTGATATGTGGGTAGTTCGTAGTGCGTAATGAGTAGTGAGCGCTGTTTGGGGCTAGGGTTTGGGTTTGGGGTTCGGGTAATGGGTTAGGGTAAGGGTGAGGATTTGTGTTAGGGGTGGTAGGGGTCGGGTTCCGGAGACCGGGGGCGCCGTGGCGAAAGGGGGGAGGGGGGGGGGTCGAATTTGGCGGCCAAGGGGGGGAGGGGGGGAGGGGTCGGACCCCCCCCCTTTTGAAAGGGGGGGTCCCCGACGACGGACCGGGAAAGGGGGAGAGGGGGGGGGTGTCCCCGACGACGGATCGGGAAAGGGGGGTCCCCGACGACGGATCGGGGAAGGGGGGGGGGGTCCCAACCCCCGCCCCCTGGGGTCATCCAGCGGCGCGCCCTCCCAAACATGCCCTCAGGTACACCTCACAGAGCACGCACGTCCCCAGGCACGCCCTCACACACGGCCCCAGGCGCTCTCCCATGGCACGTCCCTAGGCACGCCCTCAGACACGGCCCCAGGCACGTCCCATGTAAGGGAACGAAATGGGGGGGAAACGAAAGGGGGGGAACGAAAGGGGGGGGGGGAACGAAATGGGGGGGGAACGAAGGGGGGGGAACGAAAGGGGGTGAACGAAAGGGGGGGGCGAAACGAAAGGGGGGGGAACGAACGGGGTGGGGGAAACGAAAGGGGGGGGGAACGAACGGGGGGGGGATGCAGGTACCGGAGCCGCTGCGGTGTACCAGGACCTCTCTGGGGATGCGCTCTGACCAGAGCTGCGGGCCGAATCCAGCCGTGGCGACGGAGGAAGGGCGGCCGTATCGATACCGTTCCTCTCGTGACCGTCGGACTTCGTCCCCTCTGCTTGGGCCCACCGCATCGTTCCTCGACCTCGGCCTCTGTCGCTCGCCTTCTGGCCCGAGGGGGGCCATCACAACTGGATCTGGAGCGAGAGACGACCCCGGGGGAAGTGGTCGGGAGCTCCCTGGGACCGCGTACAGAAACAAAACAGATCGGCGCATGTGTCAGGGGTGCTGCTCATGTGGGCGCGGGTTGCGAAAGGGCGGAGAGGTGGGCAGCGTGAACATACCGGCTACACGCAAGAGTGACCCTGGGCAAGAGGGACCTTTGGTGCGCGGCTTTTTGAAGGCCGCGAGGGGACCAAAAACCCAAGCGCGCAAGACATTACTATCGCACCGCACTCGGCGATCGGGGAGCCCCACTGGGCGCGCACCAAAGGTCGCTCCGGCGAAGGGTCACTCTTACGTGCAGGGGGGATGAGCACGAGGAGGACAGGGAGAGAACGCACTTTCCCCCCACGCAAGCAACCCATCGGCAACCGCCACGTCGAGGTTGAGTCGCCCCCCCCCCCCCCACACACACACACACAAAAAAAAAAAACGCGCGACCAGACGGGGAGGGAAGGTAGGAGCAGTCGAACCGAGTCGATCTCTTGGGCGCTTTCCTGTGTATCCAGGGCTCGTGGCACAACAGCGCCTGGGAGCGCGATGCTCCACCGCGAACGAGCTACAGAACCCCCTCCTTCTTTTTGGGGGGGATGCACCGGCTCGAAGGCGCGGATGCGGAGGAGGAGGAGGAGGAGGAGGAGGAGGAGGAGGAGGAGGAGGAGGAGGAGGAGGAGGAGGACGAGGACGAGGCGGATGTCAGGGGTGCTGCTCGTGTGGGCGCGGGTTGCGTGTGGGCGGAGAGGCGGGCAGCGTGAACATATCAGCTACACGCAAGAGTGACCCTGGGCAAGAGGGACCTTTGGTGCGCAGCTTTGTGAAGGCCGCGAGGCGACTGAGCACAAGCGTGCAAGACGTTACTATCGCATCGCTTTCGGCGATCGGGTAGCCCCACTGGGCGCGCACCAGAGGTCACTCCGGCGAAGGGTCACTCTCGCGTGCAGTCGAGCCTCCCTCCCCGCCGTCCCCCTTCCCCGGCTGCGGCGGCTGCGGCAGGCCGCGCCTCTGCGGCAGTGGTCTGCGCCGGGAGCGCCGCCGCGCGCGCCGCGCGCGCGGCGCAGGCGGCCTGCGAGGCCTCGCGAGAGGCGGCTGCGGCCTCTCGGCTGGGCTGCGGAGCCAGAGGCGGGATCGTGTCGTGACGGCTTTTAGGCTTCCCAGGTGGGATCCGAGTGCAGGATCGGGCGACCGAGCCGCATCGCCGATGCTTCGCTGATGCACCGTCGATGCGTCGGCGACGTCGCCAATGTATCGGGGGCGTCGGTGCGGAGAACATCGGGCTCCACATGGAGCCGCATCGCCGATACATCGGCGATGCGGCGCGGTTCCTCCGACCAGTATACGCTGACCTCACCTGGGAGGCCCAGAGACTTGCGCGTGGGTCTTTGACATCGCGTGGGCTCCTCAACCCTGGGCGATCGCGACTTCCCGATCGCGCAGGTCTTTCGATGTCGGCCGATGCTGGGCCGCCCTCAACCCTCAAGGCCCGCGCTCAAGCCGCCGCCGCGTCGGCACGGCACGAGCCAAACTGCCGTGCCCGAGTGATCAAAGCGCGCGAGCTGTCTGCCAGCATCGGTGGCTGCCCCTGTCCGTGTCCGTGCCGCCGCGCTGGGCTCCGCCTGCGTGTCCCTGGGCCACCTGACTTCGTACATCGCGCCCCGCAATGCGCGACGCGCGATTGTCGTCGCCCCCCGCGATGCCGCCTTGGAAAGGGCACGTCTCAAGCCTAGGCCGCGAGGCACGAAGCGCGACCATCTTCGCGCCCCTGCAGGGGACCTAGTACCTTGCTTTTGGTCAAGTGTTTTCGGCAGGATGGCGAGTCTGGTGCGGCGCGCGCACTGTGAATGCTCTGCAGAGGCCCTACCCTTGCGATCCAAGGGAAGACGAGAGCGCGGCGTTTCACCGATGCAACGAATGTTGATTCAACCCCTCTCGCCGGCCCCCACGACCCCGCGCCCCCCTCTTGCCACGACTTCCAGGCGCCGCAGCGACAAACTCACAACCCGCACAACCCAGTACGTGCCGAGCATGAAATGGATTCGCGTGGGCGAGTACCCCTCAACCTGACCCGACATAAAATGGTATGTTGTTAATTATCTATATATATATATGTATTTGTTTGTTTTTTTTCTCTCTCTCTCTCTCTATCTCTCCTTCTACACCTGCGTACAAATTATTTGAAGCTGCCCGCCACCGACGGTCGCTCTGAACCCGATGTGCCACCGCGACATCGCCCAGGGGCAATCCTGGCTCGCTCCCGCAGCGCCCGCGGCCTTGACCCACGCACGGGAACGCAACAAAACTCAATAGACATAAACTTTCGTCGGAAGTCTGTGAGAATTCCCTGGGTCAGCGCTGGATCCCGTCCCTTGACATGCGGAGCGCGCCAAGGGCGGCGCCGGAGGCGCCGCCAGGGGGGCCCTGCGCCGATCCAAGAGATCCGCGCGGGTCTCCGACGGAAGTTTATGTTGATGCAGTTTTCTTCTTCGACCACAGGCCCGGCCTTGGCGATCTCCTCTTCCATCTCCCTGCTGCACGAGACCAGGTGCGAGTCGAATGCGTCCAGCACCTCGCCGAAGGCCGCTCGCGGGGCCCGGGGGGGGGCAGGGCGACGACTCGCTGCCCAGCCTGTGCGCCAGTGCGGGGCCATCGACGCTCGCTGGAGACCCCTCGTGGACTTCGGGCGCCCCCAGCCACGGGGGTGGACAGAATCCCACCAGGGGCACTCCACTTGCGCACGGCACTGCATGCCGGGTGGACCTGGTCGGGGTAGCTTTTCCGCGTCTGAAAAACAACCACATGTATCCGGCGAGACGCACGTTGATTTGCGAAGGCGACTGCGGACTGCACCAGAAAACTCGAATGCCGATGTCGAGGGAACCGGTGCGGATTTCCTGTCGACTTGTGCCGGTGGGCGTTCTCTCCATGCCCGATGAATTTCGTTTCGGGCGCCCCCAGCAGCCCTCGCGTCAGAAACACAGCGCGGTCTCAGGGCGTGCCAGGACGTACGCGAGGGGCCCCTGATCCCTTAGGGCTTCTGCCGCTCGGGGACACCGTCTCGGCTGGCTGGAAGCCCGCCCCGCTCCGCAGCGTCCGAGATCATGTTTCGCCGAAGCGTGGCACGACGAGTCCATACCTCACGCGGTCTCTTGGAGGAGGGAGAAGATGGCAGATGCCAGCATCATTCAACATCTGGCGATAAACGCGAATGCCGCCACACACACAGACCTCAAGCCTGGTTGAAAGACATACTGATGCGTCCAGGGAGGTTGCACTTGAAACCCGTTTGCTTCCTCACTCAGCGTGCGGAACAGAGGCGCAGAACGCCGAGTCCATACCTCGCGCGTAGACCAGCTGAGTCGATCGGCAGGGGGTAACGAGGAAGCACAAACGAAGACTTCATGATCCTACAGCTGGCGCCTGCTCCCCTACACCTTGCATGACCCTCCAGCCCAGGCGTGCGTGGAGAGAGCAAAAGCGTGGGGCCGAATTGCGGGAATGTGGTCGTAAAGCCGACGATTTTAGCGTGCTCTGTTTCTGCTTGAGGCCTTGTGGGCATGGCAACGAGGACTCCAACTCACGACGTCAACGCGGTCGGCGATGCCACTCGGAAGGGCAAGCTGTGGTCATCTGAGCATACGAACATGCTTGGTCTTCGACAACTTGCTCAACTCTAGGTGAGCCGGTTCCGTTTTCTCCATGGCAACCAGCTCTCCGCAACCTAGGGGTGACGACGCAGCGCAACGAAACGCAAGTCAGAGCAGGCTTGAGTCCGAGCAGGCCTGGTGTTATGTCGGGCGTGCCCCCCTACAGGGGGATTTTCGACGACAAATAAAAAGACCCCCAAAATACCCTAAAAAGGTAAAACAAAACTCAAAAAATAGTCCCCAGACTATATTTGCATTATTTTTTAATTATTTTGGGGGTATCTTGTACTTTTCGTTGAAAATTCTCCCTGTAGGGGGACAGGCCCGACTTCAGCCTGGTGAGCTCCTTCTCGATTTCCCCAGGGACCCCGAGGCCTCCAGAGAGGCCTCCGGGGAGCAAACCGCGAGCCAAGGGGGTCAGACCGAGCCAGGCCCAGACATCCGCTGCCCCTGGGCTCGGGCGTGGCCGCAGCCCCCCCCCCCCCTTCGGCAACAGCGCCCTCGCGTGCAGGCCGCACGGAGCAGCCCCGACGGGCGCAGGACCACGCAGGGCCGCCCCGGCCGCGGCACCCCGGCCGAGGGCCCGCACGGGAGACACCTCGCACGTCGGCCTGGCCGTCCGCCTCCGACGGAGGAGCGAGCGGTGAGCCCGCGCCGATCGCAGGGGGGAGGAGGAGGAGGAGGAGGAGGAGGAGGAGGAGGAGGAGGAGGAGGAGGAGGAGGAGGAGGAGGAGGAGGAGGAGGAGGAGGAGGA